TGAAACTATAAAAATTATTCATATTCTCTGTTAAGTTATGTACTTCTTCTCATATATTATAATACTTTCTATTATTATATTCTGCGCCGACGAAGTCGCGGGTAACAGCTAGTTAATAATAAATTCTTATCTTAAAAAGTTACGTCCCATTTCAATACAACTAGCTTTTGACGCGTTACCTTGTCGAGATTTTTAACTTTCAATATACTGGGAATATAAGACATTGTCTCAAAAAAAACAAAAACCATCGTCACCCTACAATCTGATACAACTAAAGCATGACTAATTCCACACACAACATACAAAATTCAACCTCAATCCATTTAACAATAGACTTCAAATTCGCTTAAACTGATTACTAAATCGATAGTCCAGTTGACAATGCTATTTTAATTGGAACTTTATTCTTAGAGGTTTAAAGTTGAATTTGTTTTGTTTTTTAATAGAAGGACAATGTACTTAGGCATTTTATGTCGCAATTGCATTAATAGTAAATTTGTAAGCACTAGGAATTGTAAAATACCTAGATTGTTTCGTTCTAACTCCTAATTTGTATGAGCCTTTGTTTTGGGAGAGCCAAGCTTCTGCACTGAGGACCTGTGTCAAGCGAGGGGGACTGGGATGCCGTCTCCTCCTTTTGCGAAGCAGTAATGCTAGATAAGGGGGAGTCGGGACGCGTAAGGCAGTGAAGCGATGCCTCTTTACAACCCAGCCGTCGCGAAGGACACTCCGGGCGTCGGTGGTTGCGGGATTCAACGATATATTATTTTGAAATATCGCGTGACGTCACAGCGTGCTACATTTTGTAGCACTTTATGACGTAACGACCTCCCACTCCTAAATTAGTAAACTTAGCGCCATTTTATCTAAGTATTGCAACTTAATGTCTTATATTTTTTCATTATCTAACTGACGGACTAATTAGATTTTTACTTTTGATACCCTGGAATCTAATCAATTATATGTATCATCAACAGCCTATAAATACCCACTGCTGAACAAAGCCTCTTCTCACACGGAGAAGGTTTGAGCATTAATCACCACGCTTGCTCAATGTGGGTTGGCGACTTCAAATTTATAATTAGGAATTGTAAGCCCAGGTTTCCTTACAATGTTTTCCTTCACTGTTTGTCAGTGGTGTCTAAATAATCTTAGAAAGTACATATAACTCGGAAAAAGTCACATTGGTACTTGCCGTTGGTTGGTTTCGAGCCCGCACCCTCATGCATGAGAAGTGGGCGTCTTAAACCTCCGGGCCACCACGACACAACTATAGCAGCACAAGTTTAAGCGCTGTGCTAATTCAGAATTTTCGAAATACCGATGCATTCAAGCACTCGGCCCGGCGGTCACTTGACCAACTGGTGAAAGTGTAACTGGATTATATAGTCTCCAAATTCTTTAAAATGAAAATTCTTATGCCAGCGCTGGGCCCTATTTTGCACCTGCTGAACCGGTCCCATTTCGCTGCAGACTTGGGTTATTTTTTATATGGAATAGGAGGCAAACGAGCAGACGGATCACCTGATGGTAAGCGTTAACATTAACATGTACCTACCCATAAGTATTTACTCATAATTTTATCTAATACTTTAACTGTTTCTAATCTGTACGTACATAACATAACATCACGCCTTTTATCCCCGAAGGGGTAGGCAGAGGAGCACATTACGGCACTTAATGACACTATACAATGTAACACTCACTTTTCACTATTTATGTTATGAGTGAACCTATTGCCATACCATAATACCGGGCACATTTCCAGACTCCGTGCTACTACTCAGATTTTTCTTTTAAATCCAGTAATACTATGCCTGACCCGGGAATCGAATCCAAAACCCTTTGCCCGGCAGTCGTACTAGCGACCACTCGGCTAACGAGGCAGTCTGTAATATGTACATACAGTATTTTTTATATCTATGTCTGTCTGTACATGTCAACTATTTTTAACATCTCAAATAAATGTTTTTTCTGTATTTTTTCACCATCAGCAATGGCATGTAAGGGTTGAGTTGCCACTAGCCTCTACATAAGAGGGATTTGTCATACGCTGGCCAGGTGCGGTGGAGACCACAGTTCAAAAGGTTCTGGGGGCTTACACTTGAATCCAATTCCGGTCTATCGACATTGGTATTGTGAAATTTCGTACTCTTGAGTTGCAACACTAGCGCCCATTGCATCCATATTTCGTGGACATTGAATGAAGTAAATGGTATTGCGTTTGGTTTTATATTCCGTACTCTGAATGCTATTGTAACAGCTACGATAGGGGTTGTATAGTTTTGACATTGAATAATTATTGAGATTTAATTGCATTGACATTGAGATTGGTTTCAAGAGTAAGCCAGGTTTATCAGAGTGTCTGTCAAGGTACATAATATTTTGGCTTCTAATAATCAAAAAATATATTATTATATGCATAGTATACCATGGGTATGCTAATATAATGTACATATATGTTCTTATATTATTTCGTTTTCAAACAGATAGGAATTTTTATAGTAATATTATGTAAGTGACCAGTACATTGTACATTTCGCTAGTTTCATTATGTAGCTACAATTTCTAATCGACTTCAAAAAAGAAGGAGGAGGTTTTAGTTTGAACTGTACGTAGGTATGTGTGTTTATCTGGGATTATGTCGCCATTGCCTGAACTTAAACACCATCCAGTGGCTATTCCTGCTCTTCGACCCAGAGTCCCGGCAGCCCGTTATAAGTCCTCTGCAGCTCCGCATAAGGGATTAGCCCTAAATTGGGCCCATCTGTGGTGGTCTGATGGCGCTTAGAGGCGCGCGAGGAACGTGACGCAGGGCGCTCTCCAGCTATGTGGAGTGATGATATTCGTTGTGTGACTGCCAGTGGTTGGATGAGAAGAGCTGACAATCAAGCTCAGTGGTGTGATATTGGAGATAGACTGTTCATCATGTCTTACATTTTTTTACTTGGAGTTTCTCCTGTTTTTATAATAACTATATTTCCTTGCTGTGCCCGACACGTTCTCGGATTCGATTCCAAGGTCGGGCAATGTATTACTGGATTTAAAAAAATATCAGTAGTAGCACGGTGTCTGGAAATGTGTCCGGTATATGGCATTAGACTCACCCCCTATTACATGGGACTCATAACATAAGTAGTGGAAAGTGGGCGTTACATTGTACAGTGGCATTAAGTGCCGTAATGTGCACCTCTGCCTACCCCTTCGGGAATAAAAGGCGTGATGTTTTGTTATTATGTATTTACGTGAGTCACTCGTGCTTTTTTGCAAATGGAGTTTTATCTGTTACATGCACACAGGAGCTCATGTAGTGTAGGAATTGTGATCTATCTTAGACATAGACTACAATTATTCGCAATGCGATCGACTTCTCGACTCAATCTTGCGCAGTTATTAACATTTAATAGTATTCAACCCATTTGAATTGGAATGTTCTAACATCTACATTTTATGAACATAAAATGATAGAGAACTACTATATCTGTTTGTTCTTAATAACTGGTTTAGTTTATATACTTATTATAAGTTGTTTTTCCTTGAATTAGTACATAGAGTTAATATATTTGCATCACATGTAAGGGACAATCAACTCAAGCCTTTGTCTCATGGTATACGGAAACTACAGAGCGCCACCTACTACGCTCCTTACATACTTCTTTAGCTTCCATCACATTCATACATCTGATGGTATACAGAAACTACAGAGCGCCTCCTACTACGCTCCTTACATACTTCTTTAGCATCTGATTGTACACAGGTATATTTTATGTACTTAGATCAAAATGTACAATAAAATATTGCATCATTATCTACCGCAACAAGTTTATTATTAACTATCTGACGGTATAGTTTTTAACCTGGTTTTGTTGAAAAGTACCCATTAATTGTGACTTTCTTAAATTGTTAAACATAATGTACATACCATAGTTATTATATATTATATAACAATCATGTTATTCATGTTTTACTAAAGAAAGTGTGGTTAGTATGTACATGTATGTTAAAAATGTAGATTAATGTAGTTTTTTGATAGATAACGTACCACTGAGGTGTCACACAATGTTTATGGGCCGTCTGATGGAGATAAAATAGGTATAATTTGTCGTACCACTGAGGTGTCAAACAAGGTTTATGGTCCGTCTGATGGAGATAAAATAGGTATAATTTTTCATCAGCGCTACTCCGACTAAGAGATTAAACATTGTGAAAATCCCTAAGGTTTTTACAAATATCGGCATCTTCATCGCTTATCACCAGTCGATAAAGCGGCCAACCGCTGATCTATTAAGTATTTAGATGGAGGTAGGAGTGATACCACGGCCGAGAGAAAACCTCTTGCGTCGTATCTCGTCCTGTGAGTGAGGTTACCAGAGGCCTAATTGGTTTCCCCAATCTCCCCTATCCCCGAATCCCTAACAATCCTCAAATTCCTAATCCTCAAAAGGCCGATAAACCATTTGTACCGCCTCTAGCTCTGGTGTTTCGGGTATCCAGGGGTGGCGCCGATTGCTAGCTCTATTCTGACAAGCAAGCTCAATAATTGATATCCATAATAGAGGTAGTTGTGGAAACAATTAGATTATATTGTATGGTCATCAATAGAGTGTGTACCAAACCAAATCGATCTGTCGTCAGGAAGGGGGTAAAATTCTAATCAATAAAAACTATCTAAATAAAAACGTGTGTACAATAATAAAATAACAGTTTAAACATTTGTTAAGG